TCTCTCTCTCTATATATATATATATATATATATATATATATATATATATATATATATATATATATATATATATATATATATATATATATATATATATTATATATATATATATTATATATAAATATATATATATATTATATATATATATATTATATATAAATATATATATATATATATATATATATATATATATATAGTTTACTAATGATTATGTCTATTATTAAGATTATGATGTTTATTATTGTGTTTATTATAAGCCACTATGAATCTCAAATAAACATAAAAATGTTTATTTGAGAAATTTTTTATGTATCTTTGTTAATGGCTGATATAATGGTATTAAAGTAAATGCTAGCTATTTGTTATTATTTTTTTAAAAAGATTTGTTTTAAGAGCTATTATAGTATACTAGAATATCCAGACCCATAAACCCGGTCATTATAGGTCTGATTCACACCTCCCACTTATTTTTCACTCATTTCAATATGTTATAGAAAATGATAGCAAGTAATGTAATTAATGGAATGTAAATAAGTAATGATCTTAGCTTCATTAGAATCTAGTTTAACATTTACTTTTGCATTGTTCGAGCATATGCATATAGCATAACAATGTTGATAAAATATAAAAGTTGACTTCAACCTTTTGTTTTCATGTAGGTCTGTGTGTGTGTGTTTTAACTATTAAACTTGGTTTTGTTTTGTTAAAGCTTTTAAACTTGTTTCTGTTCTATTATTTATCTGTATTTAATAATGTAGCAAAAATAAATAAAAATACGGTAAGCGAATATATCGACCTAACTTAGAGCTGTTAACGTATGCCAATCATATGTTTATTTCAGCATTAATCTGAGTTATATTTTACTAATGCGGAAAATATTTAGCGAAAAGAATCCGGAATAAATTTTGTCTTGCCAATTTTGAATTAAAATGATTAGTTTTAATCAAAAATTTTCTTCATTTTTGTTTAGGTAATAGGCTGAAAAAGTTTGAAAAAAGACATACCTTAAAAAGTATATTTTTTAACATGTGTTTACAAAAAATTTCTTTCAATTAATCCATAAAAACATAAAGTCTTAAATTTAGAACAAATTTATTTCAAATGTATAAATGATATATAGTTAAATATTTAGTAAAACCAGTATACCTCTACTTTTAAAATAAACTTTTTTTAATCAATATATAATATAAAAATAAAACATAAAACAAATAAAAATAAAACATAAAAATATATAATACAAAAATAAAACATAAAACAATAAAATGATAATTTTAAAAATGCTTTTAAAACATATTTTTAAAACACATGTTATTATTTATTATGTGTTTAGTAAAAAACAAACACATAATACATAATAATACAAACATAAATAACAAACATTGTCAAATAAAAACAAATAAAGCACAATATTTGTCAACTTCTTAGAAAATTAACGTTGAAGACATCACAATTTTTGTCATAAACATACTTTTCAAAATCAGTTATAACAGCCGCCATTTACAGGACTGAGGCCTAGTACAACTTATTATAAAGAAAACCATTTATAATAATTAAAAATGTTCAATACTGATAGGGGTGATTTAATATGTATTGAAAAAATTACGTAACTCCATAGTAGTGGAGTTACGTAAATTATTATTTTAAAAAAAAAGGAAAACATCAAACATGTCCATAAAAGAAACACAGTTTTTTTAGATGCACACCAACTCTATCAAATGTTGACTTTGACATTTATTAATTGTCATTGAATAAGCCAATCTGAAAGGAAACTGATGACTTTTTAGAACAAAAGGTAAATTAGAATCTGATGGAGCCAACTGAATTCGAGGAACAAAGACCTGTTTATCATCAGAAACTGGTTTCAAAACCTCTGCATCGATACAATTGTTTTGAAGAGAACAAACTTTCATTTGAGCGCCATTTTTCATAATCCAGCTTATGATCATTTGAAAAATGAAGTAAAATAGGTATATGTGGCAAACCACGCTTTTGAAACCACATTAACCACAAACCATGCTTTTGAAATTCAATAACCTAATCTTGCACTACAACTGTTCCATAATGCACCATGCTTGAAAATATCTTTTAGGAGATTTTTGCCATTCAAGTTAAGATATTTTTACAACTGAGACTGAGCAAACTTCTATAGTTGTTTGATGAGTTTCTTCATCTAATTCAGCCATGTTTATAAATGCAAGAGCAAATGGGTTCATTTATCTAACTATAGTTTGCAAATGAAACATTAAATCTCAGAAGCAAAGATCATTGCCATATTGTTGCATTCTAAAATTTACTGCAAGTGGGTCATATATACAGTTGACAATATGTTGGGGGAAAATCTTGATCTGGCCTAAGATAACCTAAACAACTTATCTAAACTTGACCGCATATTCTAAAACAGGTAGGTCCATTATTCCTAGGTTGAACCACAGTTGTAAATATAGCAAAAGAAAGACACTTTCAATTCACTTTCTAATATATTTAAAAAAAAAATCATATTGGAATTATGATCTAAATAACTACATGTATATAAATCTTGTAAAGCTTACGGAAGTGGTGAAGGTGGAGGCAAAACTATATTTTCATTATGACAACATAGAGAATGTGTTTCATCAGAAACTTTAAGATCCACAATTTTGACAGATCAGGTTCCATTCTCCTTTAGAATTATAATATGGAATATTATTACTTTTTGGTATACAATATATTTTTCCTTGTCTAGCTGTATTTTGTACACTTTGTAGATTAATTTCTTGATGATTTCATCTCGCCTAGCTCCATTTCTTTTGATTTGATAACAGTTATTATTAACTTGCCTAAACACATTATCCTCATAAGGGTTTTAATTAGTTTCTGCTCAAAAGGCAGTGTTTCTTATATTTTGTAGATGATTAATTTCATCTCGCCTAGCTTTATCTTCTCTTTTTTAATTTGATGACAATTACTATTAACTTACCTAAATATAATATCTATATTAGGGTTCAAATAATTTTTGCTTGCCGAGCAGCATTCTTCCATCTTGTAAATGATCAATTTCATCTTGCCAAGCTCCATCTCTTTAATTTTGACAACAATTGTTAATAACTCACATAACCACATCCTCATTAGGGTTCAAATTAATTTCTGCTTGCCAAGAAGCATTTCTCACATTTTGAAGACTATTAATTTTATTTCACCTTGCTTATCTCTGTCATATTGACAATTATTTTCAAGTTGTCTATTAAATGCACTAATAACTTCTTTAAGTCTTGTGTAAATGCACTAATAACTTCTTTAAGTCCAATATCATTCATTTCAATTTCACTATTATCATGAAGCATATTACTAGTAGTATTAATACTGTTTATAACAAATAAATATAAATCTTGTGTTATTTTTTTTATAAAATTCATTAGTACTACTTCAAAGAGAAGAAAAGACATAAATAAGTAACTTTAATAAACCACTGTTATTTAAAAAAAAAAAAAAAAAACTAAATCAAATCATGAGAGACTAAATAAAATTAAATATATACTACACTAATATATATATATACTACACTAATATATATATATGTATATATATATATATATATATATATATATATATATATATATATATATATATATATATATATATATATATATTAATCCTTGGAATTAGGAAAAACAAGGTCGGTAATAATTTGCCGACCTCAATCTTTTACAGGTCAGCATTGGGTCGGCAAAAAAAATTTGATACAAAAGTTTTACTATAAAACATAGAAACAAGATCAGCAATTTTTTGCCAACCTCAAACACCTTAAGGTCAGCATTGCTGAATGCCGACCCTAATTCTGAGGATTGATATATATATATGTATATATATATATAATATATATATATATATATATATATATATATATATATATATATATATATATATATATATATATATATATATATATATATATATATATATATATATATATATATATATATATATATATATATATATATATATATATATATATATATATATATATATATATATATATATATATATATATATATTCAAATACCTTTAAAAATAAGCATAAAACTTTAAACAATGAAACATGGATAAGAATAATCTTATTATTTTACTTCCAACTCAATATTTTACTTTTTTTTATTCCTAATTAATTTTTCTAAGATGAAATATACATATAAATATAAAGAAGTATAAAATTACTGAAATATATGCACATTTATGTATATAAACTTACATGTCAACAAAAACCAATACTATTTATTTTTTCATGTCATTTCCAAAATAACAACAATGCAACAAAAAAATGATATATCTATAAACCTGATAAACTAAAAAAATAAACTATATATGTATCAAATCATATACGTACACAAACAGGGTGTTAGGCACTGCGTATAACACGGAATTCCCAATGGGTTTAATATTCTTAAAATGTAATGACCTTTTTTTTCCCCAAAGGAATAGGACAATTTTATTAAAAATTCCCAACACTTTGTAAAGCAATAACATTAAATATTCACAATATCGCAAAAACATGTTAAAAAATATGTTCCTGGCTAACACCCTGACAAATATAAACATGGTCAAATATAAACAATTAATAATTGTAACTAAGAGAATAACTAACAATTGTAACTAAGCACATTAAACAGTAACTAAGCGCATTAAATTATTTTACAAACAATTTATCTAAAAAAAATGTTTTAAGTCAATCAAATTTTAAAATAAAATTATTATTTAAAAAATTTGATGTCAATAAACTGACCAAAATATCTTAATTGTTATAACTAAGCACATTAATTTATATTTTTTCATGTAACCAATTACATGTTAGCAGATTCTATTTTAGCCAATTATATTTTTTATAACAATTGTAACTAAGCAAATTAAACAGTAACTAAGCGCATTAAACATTAAATTGGACTATAAATATTTAGATAAAAGTATAATTTTACATTTGTTTTTATTATTATTACTATTTTTATTGATCTTTCTGTTTATTTTGTTAGGTTATTATCTCACTGTAAAAGTGATGACTTCAATGATCCAATCGAGCGAGAGTTTATTGCTTTTTTATGTCCGACAGGGCCACTTCTTGAGGAAATATCGAAGTTTTTTGAACTTTCACTCATAAATTGTGGAATTAATGCAGCTCATAATTTGTTTCCACATATCACTCTTTCTTCATTTTTTAAGGTTGATTAGTGAATGGTTGTATTTATATAGTTATGAATTGTTTTTTTTTTTTCGTATATGTAATTTATATATATTCTTAGATGTTTCATAAAATTTAATTTAGGTAAGTGATTCAGTCTTACCTTATGTTTTGGACATTTTCCAAAGTAAAATGCAACAACATTACTACAAACCAGTCCAAGATATCCAACTGCATTTGCAATGGTCTGAAAGTTACATCGGACTATTTTTAGATGACCAATCTATTAGTTGGTTAACTGAAGCAATGAATTTTATCAGCAAAACAGCTGAGATTGAGCGAGGTAAAATAAATTTTTGGCTTTAGATTTTTAGATTACTTTTTGATATATAAGGTTAATTTCTTGCATTAAAAACCATTATACAATGTAAATGACATCACTCAATGTATGATAATAGGAACATCACCAATCATATTTACATCACCATCATATGTACATTTACTAGTTTATTTAGATTATGCCATCTTTTGAAATAATCTTAACATAAAATGTATGCAGATAACTTCAGGCCAAAAAATTTTGGTGAGATAGTTAAAATGTTTTTATTCTCTGAAGATTTTAGAATTTGATGGAAGAGAATTCAGCACCTAAGTTTATTGTTACATACCTGTTATATACCCGAGTATGCATTTATTGTTTTAAAAGAAAGCTCATATCACAATAATAAGTTCTTGATGGGCTGATTTCTTAGCGAGCTATGCGAGAGCATAAATAGTCTTAAAAATAACAGCAAAACTCCTAATAACAACAGCGCAAAAAAGTTTTAAATTTCTTGTTCAAAAGACAAATCACTTTCTAAATACTTCAAATATTGATTTAGCTGTTTTTAATAAATTAAGAGGGGACTCTTATTTTAAAAGTGGTTAGAGTCAAAGAGCTATTAATATATAGTATATTGGCTTGTTGTTAATCCATGTAATATATTTTATGCCTAATCCTATTTTTATGGCTAGTCTTATCCTATTTAAATCATTGAGTTCATTTATTAAGCTTGTTCGATTTATTAAAAATCATGCTATAAAAGATTTCTAAAGAAGATTTTCAAATTATTATTGTGCAGTGCTTTAATTAATAAATTTTTTTTTCTGAACTAATTTTAAAATAAACTTGTTTTGGCTAAATTTGTTTTTTGATATTGTAAAAGTAATGGTTGAACATGTTGAGGTCACTGTTTCTTTAGAACATGTAAATTTTAATAATTTTTAAAATACTTTTTAAAATACTTTTGTATTAGTTAAATAGCACTTTTGAAATTCAAATTTCTTTACATAATAATTTAATATTTATAATATATAAAAAATTTAATATTTATAATATATAAATAATTTGATATTTATAATATATAAATAATTTAATATTTATAATATATAAAATCTTATTGAAATATTATTTGTTTGTTTTTTTCAAAAAATAAACAAGTTCAAAAAGTTATTATTATAAAGCGTTGTGCAGTTTTTGTTTTATTTTGTACTATATATAATAGATATTTAAATTTCATAGAAAGTAGTGTTTAATATTAACAAAAATAATATTTAATAGAAAGAATATTTAATTGACCTCACATTCACTTAGCTTATTTTGAAAACATTTTGAAATTTTTCCCAAAATATTTTTTGGGTTTAAAATCATCATCATTCTCATATTTTATTCTTAACTAAAGCTTTTGCATGTCATCTGTAACACTATTCTCTCTTTTTCTACTTCTATGTTTAACTTTTTGTCCTGAAAATGCTTTCTCTTTACATGCTGATACTCAAACATCTACATTTTTATAGTCTACATGCCCAAATTACCTTAATCTTCCCTAATGAATCCTATCAGATACCTCAAAAACTTTTCAAACTATTTTATGAATGCCATCTGCAGATCTTTTTCATTTTAAAAATCTTTTTTAAATTTGGTTTACAATAAATATTGTGTCCTCTTTCCTAAAACCTTACTGCATGCCATAAAATGCTTTTTTTGCCTGCCTTAACTGCATCTTATTGATGAATGCCTAATTTAATTTTTTGGCAATAATTCATTCAAAAATCTTGTTTCATTTTTTTAGACCAACCACATTCTAGTGTCTCTGTCTCCTTTATAAAACTTAACTATCCAACTTTTCATCTAATAATTTAGGATTTTAACTTCATGTACAATTTCATTGCAAAAATCTGACTCAACCTCTGACCCTATCTCTGAACATCCGCAATGATTATAAATCTTATGATATAATATTATGAATAAATTGCAACTTTTATTGCCCAAATATATTCTCATGCAATGTATTTCTATACAAAATGGTAAGTATGATGCATACATATACAGTAGAATCCCGTTAACTCGGACCCTGGATAAGTCGGACTTATCCAGGGTCCGAGTTAAGGGAAATTTAAAATTTGTCGAACTACTAAGTTCAAGGGAAATTTAAAATTTGTCGAACTACTAAATTCGACAAATTTAAAATTTCCCTTGAATTCTCTATACATATCAAAAGCTTCGTTTAACTCAAACATTTGCTAAGTTTGACAAAATATATATACCCGTTCAGAGTCTGAGTTAATGGGATTCTACTGTATATAGTATATTTTTTAGTTGGAACTCCTTACAAAATCTAAAGTATCCACATCCCCTGAAACCTTCAACATCTCAGCCAATACGCTAAAAGAACAAGCTGCCTTACCTAAATGAGCTTATTATTTCAGCTGGTTCAATAATTTTATTCACTACAAATAAACCTTTTTTATTCTAGTTGAATTCTTCATTAAGCCATTTTTTAAAATGAGCCATCCACCTTGTTTTTATCTCAACTTCATTTGTAAGTATCTTTTCACCTATAATTTTATTTCTCCAAAAATATCCCTATCTTTTCCTGATCATTTGCTTTAGAGCTCTGAACACTGCATCTCTTTTGTCTTTTATCTAGTATCTCACCAAATTCTGCTCATTTGATTGAGATTTGTATACAGCTTGTTTAAGTAACCTTGTGTCTTAAAGACACAATACTTGTATATATATGTATTTACATTTGTGTGTGTGTGTGTATATATATATATATATATATATATATATATATATATATATATATATATATATATATATATATATATATATATATATATCATATTTATAAATATGTTTTAAACAAATAGATTTCAAAAATATTGATTGAAGTTGAACAGGCTGATGTTGTGTGTAGATGAAATGAACATAAAGTAATTAATTATACATTAATAGATAACCATTTCCTAATCTGTATATATAAGTTCATAAGGTTGTAATCTGTATATATAAGTTCATAAGGTTGAACTTGCATTATGAATTAGAATTAAACATTTTTAGTTTACAATAAAAAATATCATTTATTTTTTATTGTCAACTAAAAATGTTTAATTGCTTTTTTTTTTTAATTAAATTTTTTTTTTTTTAATTTTTTTCTCTTTAAATGAAAAATTTTTCTCAGGACTGCTCAAAAATTTTAATACCCTCCATAAATTTATCTTAGGCTTAAAAAAACTTCGTTTAAGTTTATATTATGTACATAAATTGGAGAGGATTACTTATTTGCATTCAATTATAGACGTTTTTACATTGTAAATTGTATTGAAAAGTTTTAATAGTTTTTATCTACAACTCAATTACTATTCACAATAGTAATTATCTCTAAGCAAAATATATTAGTTCTTTTCATATAGAAAATAAAGTTTTATATAGAATAATAAAATAAATTATTATATTAGTTCTTTTCATATAGAAAATTAAATCCTATTTAGTAGCAATATTAATCCGCTCCTAAATTTAAAATTGTCAAATAACTTTGAAATTTTAAATTTTTTATGTAAAGAAAAAATTTTGTTGAAGAAAACTTTTTTTTATGAAAACATCAAGTTTAAGTTAACAGTTTGGATTTTTGGTGTAGAAGTGATTTTATGTTGACATTTTTTTAATGAAATAATTTTGTGATTTTGTTGTTGCTACTATTAAATAACAGATGCTATGGCTTGATATATCCAAATATTTAAATATTTTATTGCAAATTATTAAATATGTAAGTTATTTTTATATGCTTATCTTTCTTTAATTTTTCAAAACCAAGTCTGAAGTATGTGGCTCTTGACATTTGATTTTTATGAACATAAATATTCATTGGCTTCTTTTTTTGTTGAAATCTGTTCAATTGTTATTGGTACTTTTTTTACTTTTTAAGTATTTAAGTTTCTACTTTTTAACTTTTTGGCTTCTTTCAAATTATTCTTATGTATGTATGTATGTATGTATGTATGTATGTATGTATGTATGTATGTATGTATGTATGTATGTATGTACGTATGTATGTGTATGTATGTATGTATGTACGTATGTATGTGTATGTATGTATGTTAGGGTGTCCCAAAAAACAGCATTTTTGAAAATAATCTGCTCTCACCCCCTAAATGTGTTCTATCTAATACAAAAACACTAGGTTTAAATTTTTTTTGAATAAAAAATATTTTTAGGGGTCCCTCAAGACCCTCAAATATTTAATGGGTCCCTAATATTTTTGAAAAAAAAGTTTTTCAAAAATATGTCAACCTGGTACTCAAATGAAGCGAAATTATATAAATATTTCAAAAATATCATAGGTAATTTTGATAAATAAGTTAAAAATATTTCGAAATATTCATTTCAAAATATTTTTAACTTATTTATCAAAATTATCATAAAAAAAACATTGCGTTTTTTAAAAAAACATTTTTTTTTAAAAAAACGCAATTTTTTATGTAATAAAATTAAAAATAACAATTTTGTTTCGAAATGACTATTATTTTTAAAATTTTTATATGATTTCGCTTCATTTGAGTACCAGGTTGACATATTTAAAAAAAATTTTTTTTTGAAAATATTAGGGACCCATTAAATATTCGAGGGTCTTGAGGGACCCCTTAAAATATTTTTTATTTAAAAAAAAATTAAACCTAGTGTTTTTGCATTAGATATAACACATTTAGGGGTGAGAGCAGATTATTTTCAAAAATGTTGTTTTTTTGGACACCCTAATGTGCATAAAGGTTAATAATAAACAATAAAATTATATTTTCTTGTTTCTTACATTATTTTATATTATTGGTGTTCTCTTATGGTTAGATTTTTATTGTTCTTTATTATTGGTTAATTTTTTTTTTTTTATTGTTATCGTTATTATTATTGTTATTGTTGTTGTTGTTTTTATTAACATTGTCAATAGGAATCAAAAAATAAAAGTTTAAATTATTTTAATAGTTTTATTTTATAACCAATACTAAAACTTGAATAAATGCAAACTCAGATGTAAAAGTTATTATCTATATGATAATATTTAGTCATTTCTACCTTGGAATATATTTCATTTGTATCTCTTGAATGGTATAATTTTAAACACACTATGACAGCTGAAGCTCTTGATGGTTTGTTAAGTCTTGCCTTAAATGAATTCACTGAAAAGGCTTTGATAATATTCTCTGGCAGTGCATTTCTAGTTTGTAACTCAATTTAGTAAAATATTTTCTCTAATTATAGGCTGAAAAATTCTTTTAAAACTTTTAACTAAGACCAGGAGTACATTTCAGTTTGAAGGCATAATATTTTTTAAATTCAACTTTATCATAACCATTAAAAATAATATATTATTAATTAACTTTGATGTCTTCTAGTTACAAGTGAGACAAAGTGAGATAAATAAGGGTATTCAATGACAAGTTGATTTTTTTTCTTAATGAAAAATAAATTTGAAATTTTATGTTATGTCTGAGTTTCCCTTGTAAACTCCCTATTCATTTCTTGATCTCTCAAACATTTAAATGATTTTATTGAATGTTTTTTACATAGTTATTAAATTATTTTTGATTTTTCTGATGCCATTTTTGTAGTATACAGTATATATGTAAACATCAAATGGCAGGTGATCTAAAAGATATATATATATATATATATATATATATATATATATATATATATAATATATATATATATATATATATTTATTTATTTATTTATTAACACTAATATATATGTATATATATATATATATATATATATATATATATATATATTTATATTTATATATATATATATATATATATAATTTATAACACTAATATATATATATATATATATATATATATATATATATATATATATATATATATATATATATATATATATATATATATATATATATATATATATAGGCAGACTTCAGACAGTTTTTACTCTAACTGGGCTTATATAATAAAAATTGCATTTTTTCAAAGTAACATATTTTTTTGCCAAATGATTAATTTAATTTACAATTACAATGATTAAGGTATCTTTTAACATTATAAACTTCCTTATATTTCTTGATTTTCAATGTTTAAAAACTGTTTTAAATTCTAGTCAAGTGTCCACATGCTTTGGTGACTTTGGACACGTATATCAGACATGTATAGGGAAGATTATGGACATCAAACAAATAAATATTTTTCATTTATAAATTATTGCAATTGGTATTCATTCAATCAATTGCACTTAAAATAATGTCCTTAAAACAAGACCTCTTGTCTTCTGTAGGAACTGGCAATGCACCCACTACATCGGTATAGGCGATAAATGCAAATTCTTCATTAGTTTTTATAAATGTAATGGTAGGGATTTTCCTTTTGTAAAACTCTGAAAATCTTTTTAAAACTTTTACTTTTGTAAAACTGAAGACTTAAAACAATGTCTGAAGTCTCCCCATAAGGGGAGTCTAAAGTCTTCAGTTAAAAAAAGTTAGACATTTTTTATATATTTTTCTAAAAAAAAGGGAATCGTTACAAACTCATATATAGATTACAAATACTTACATTCACAACGTCCACAGGTAACCATTTGTAAATTTTACATCAAAGAACTAAAAAATCGTTTTTTCACTCTAAAATCTGTTTTTTAGCAGGAAATTGTCACCTAACTATTTTAAAGCTAAGAGCGTATGTCTACCAACATATCGACAATAGACAACATTGTCCTAATGTTAACAGGGTAGGAGATTTCAAAGTGTCCATTCTCTACTTGTGTCCGAGGTCTTCCCGGTCTCCTCGGTCAGTACATATATATATATATATATATATATATATATATATATATATATATATATATATATATATATATATATATACACACTTTATATAAAGTATATATTAGAGCAGTACAAAAAAAAATTAAGTGGCTAGATGTTTAAATGTTGTTATTGATGAAAAAGATAAATCCTTAAAATTTCAAAACATTATTCCAATATTTAGTAACAGCTCAATTAACTTAATTTTTTAATGGGATCCTAATATTTAAAAATAAAAAGTTCTTTAAAAGTTAATCTGGTACTCAAAAGATGTAAAATAATGTAGAAATTTCAAAAATAATAATTGCTATAAAAAATAAATTAAATTTTTTTTTTTATTAAAAACTTGTAAATACATTTTTTTTATTTCTAGTTAAAAAAGCTTATTTTTATGCAATTAAATCTAAAATAATAATTGTAATATGAAATGATTTTTTTTTTTTTTTTTTGATTTGTATTTAATTTTTATGCTTTTAAGACCCAACATGACATACTTTTAAAAAACTTTTTTTTAAATGTTAGGGACTTGTTAAAAGTAAAGTTAATTGAGCTGTCCCTAAAACACATTATTTAAGATTGCAATTTTGAACTAACTTTCCTGACCACATCAAATCAAAAAGTAGCCCAATTAAAATTCAAAAATTATTTTTTTATATACAATTTTAAAATGGTCTAATATATATATATATATATATATATATATATATATATATATATATATATATATATATATATATATATATATAAAATATATATAGATAAATAAAAACACTTATCTAATTTTTTTCCTGATGAGCCTACTGATGGTAAAACAAATTGTTGAGGAAAATTAGATGTGTTTTTACAAATTTATTATTGCTTTGTTATTTAAGAACATTGAGCACTCTATTTTTAAAATACACTAACATAATTTATATATATATATATATATATATATATATATATATATATATATATATATATATATATATATATATATATAATATATATATATATATATATATATATATATATATATATATATAATAGATATAGATAGAAAAAATAGAAAATATACATAGGTATATAGATAGAAAATATCTTATTATATATAACTCTTGCAGCTATTTTTTTATATAGTTTTGAGTTAATGAAAAATACAAAGTATGTTTTTCATACAACTTTTTTAATCTGATCAGGGTATAGTAAAGAATTTCACATACTTAAAATAGATATGCAAGTATTTTTAAAACTCGAAGATGGTGATGGCGGCGGTAAAGTAGAATGATAATTAGATTATACTTGTATAATCGTGTTATTTTTATTGTTTATGTTTTGGTAATAAACATAATAAATGTCGAAACAGTCTGCTTCTATAAATAAACCTGTATTATGTATAAAATTATATTTATTGTAAATTATATTTTTATACGTTTTGATTTTTATATTTCTTGGAGTTTTTGTTATTACATACTCAAATATTAGTTTTCATCAAATGAAAATTAATACGCTTAAAACCTCTTGTTTTAATTATTTGAAGATTGGGCATTCTAGAAGTCTTAGAAGGGTAATCTAAAGATTTTGTTACGCAATAAAACATAATTTGCATAAATTATGACGAATTTATTTTTTTGTTTTTAGATGTTTCGTATGCAGCTGTGCACATAATTTGCGATGAACTTTCAAATTTAAGTTTAATATAGCAAACGCTTAATTTTAAATTTTAAATTAAATAAAAATTAAAATTTGAAATGTATTATTTCGAAGGCATCTTTATTTAGGGAAAGAATAGGTGTTGAAAGCGTTGATAATGTGCATTGTGGGAAAAATCATTATGCAAATTATCTAGAACGTTAACACTTTTTTACATATTTTAGGCGATAAGTTATAGATCATAAATATATGCGCTGATTAAAAATGAGGTGAAATAACTGTCAAAGTTATTGATTCTCTCGTTATATAGAATCAGTTATATGAAATGCGTTGTAAATATTATTTGTTGCGCAGCGATGTTTATATAGCGCTCAAATGAGGCGTTATCTCCGTTTATCACAAGCTTTATAAATCTTTTGACGTCACAAGTTTTAAGGAATTTACAAATTGCCTAAGTATGAAGCTTTCCATAAGCAGAGCTCGCTTTAAAATTTTGTGTATAGTTTTTTTTAAATTATCAAAATCACCGTCACGCAAAACCTATTTCAGTGTCAATTTGCTTTTTTGTAAAAAATTTTAAATCTTTTTTGTAGCGTTTAGTTTTAATTTAATTACTTTTACCGATGGAAAGATTGTAATAAGAAATTAATCTTTGCTCAATGAAATGGCTAATATAGTATTAGTTAAAGTTCTGATTATTAGAGAAAACTCAAACGTTAATTTTTTTTTTATTTTGTTTATTTGATATTTAATTATTGAAACAGAGTTAAACGTTTTGTGTGTGTGTATATATATATATATATATATATATATATATATATATATATATATATATATATATATATATATATATATATTATAAGGAGTTGCTTTAATTCGCTAAAAGTAAAGCTTAAACTAAACTTTCTAAAACAGTTTTTGCTCTTCTGTTGCTTTCTTGATATAATTTCCATATAAATATGGTCTATTTTTTTGTGTTATTTTTGTTCATGGCTGTTCTATTTTTCTTAGGGATTTATATTAAACCACATGATCGAAAGTTTCATTTAACACTTGCATACAATTTTTCACAAGACCATTCAAGCAAACTGAAAAGTTTAGCAAAAAAAATTGATCTTCGGTCGTCTGCGAACTGGCATTTAAAAATATATTCAAGGGAGAGCAGGTTTAACGGAAAACAGGTGTGTTTTGCTTAATTTAAAACCGACTTGTTCGTATGATAAAAAATGTTCGGTAAAAAAATGCACATGTGCTTATATTGCAGGTACACGTCGTTGTCGAAGACTACAAAGCGACTCATTCAAAGGAACTAGATCTGTTGGTAAATAATCACGTGATCATGACCTCTGAAAATCACAAATATCAACCGTGTAGTAGTTGGAGGGAAGGTAAAAGTTACGAAACTGGAAAAACTGGGTATTTTCCAGAAAGTTCTACTAAAAAGACTGCAGAATGGAAAATATGGTCGAAGAATTTGTAAGTCTGTAAATGTTATTAATACCCTTCTTACAATTCATATGGCAATAAATGTTTTACAGAACAATTATATGATTGTTTTTTATAATATTTTAGATCCATGACCGTCTTTAAAAACAGTACCCCGCAGAAAACTGAGGTACATCAGCCAATTAAAATGGCCAGTCGATCTCAGTCTTTTAATGCTAAAAAAAACAGAGCAAATCATTGTCAAGATAATCAAAATCCTACATGGAGTCCAATTGTTTTGGGTGCAACGTCTTCAAGTAAAGTAAATTTCTTAAATTCTCCATTTTTATCTCGAAAATTAACTCCTCAAGAAAGAAGTTCTGAAAATCCTATTGAAAATTCTACTTTAAAAAAGACTATAAAAATGTACGACTCTAACGGGACTATTAAAACTGCGCCGGCGCCAGAAAAAGACACATTTAACAGTGAGCTGCGTCGAATCTTTGTAATGCGCCATGCTGAGCGTGTTGATTTGACATTTGGACATGACTGGTTTAATGTCTATATTGATGATAAAGGTTACCATAGACGAAATTTAAATATGCCTCGTCGCATACCGACGCGTCGTGGCGGTCCAAAAGATTTTTTTATGGACGGTCCAATAACTGAAATCGGTATGTTTCAGGCAAAATTAATAGGAGAAGCAATGCGTGCTAAAGGTATCAGTTTTTCGCATGTTTTTTCTTCTCCATCACTTCGTTCAATACAGACAGCTGCGTCTGTATTAGATGGAATGGGAGATCAGCAATCGAAAATTAAAATAGAACCTGCTTTATTTGAATGGATGATGTGGTGTAAGAACAATTTGCCAAAATTTATGGCCAACAATGAATTAGCTGAATTTGGTACGAAGGTAGATGAAAACTATCAACCTTTTTTTTCTTTATCCCAGTTTAATCTGCACGAAAAATGCGACGAATATTATTATCGCTCACATGCCTTTGTCGATCACGTAGTTAAAAATTTCTCTGGAAATATACTTATGTTAGGACATTCTGCGTCATTAGATGTTTGTACGAGGATTCTAACTGGAGGAAGTTTGAGAAAAACAGACGATTTAATTAGGGTTATTCAAAAAGTGCCTTTTTGTGGGCATGTCGTAATAGAACAAGTTTCAAATAAGCGCTGGTCGCTAGTACAGTCAAGTATTCCTTCATTAGCGCATAGTCAGAATCAATCTTTTGATTGGAGAGTCTTGCAAGATTAAAGCTATTTATTGGCATTGTGAATTAAAACTTGCGTTATGTCGTAACGTTTGTAAGAATATCAAATAATTTATAAATGCATGCGTTTATCATTTATTTTTATGACAAAGGCATATATATATATATATATATATATATATATATATATATATATATATATATATATATATATATATATATATATATATATATATATATATATATATATATAAATTGCTTCTAATGTTGATTATTACTGCTTTTAATTCGCCTTTTTGATGATTGACGTTGACGTTTTGAATGACGTCAATGGCTTTTTTTATTCTATTATGATATCTCCATAAACTAATTTGCAGAAGGAGGAGGAAATTTATTTGTGTACACTTAGGAATAAAGTATCCGTCTAGGATACTTTCACAAATTATTAAAATTGTTTTTATTGGACGCTGTCACAAAGATTTATTGTTTGTCTATTTTGTATATAATGATCCGTTTTTATATTAACATAAATATTTATTTGAATCGAATATTGTTATTATTTCGATTTTTACAAATTATTATGTTTTGTGCATTTTTTATGACATATCAGTCCGTGTCATTACATTTATTCAGTTGATTCCTAGCGTATTAAATTTCTCCAGGCGTTTTATTTTAATATTTATGGATTTTTTTGTAAAAAAAAAAAAAAAAATTGTATGCAAGTTTTAGCAATATGCAAGATATTTTAAAATATTAATTGAGATCACTTAATTAAATCGGAAAAGAATTTAAACTATCTTTTTTGTTGTTGTTGTCTGTTGCAGATATTAAATAAATATGTTGAATACTTCCTCAAAAAATATTTTCAACAAAAATTATCATATTGGTCAGTCGGTTTTGGTAGAATTATTATAAAAAATGTGGGATATTTGGCTAATATAGGGTAGTCGTTTATTATTAATTTATTATTAAAAGTTTAATTTAAAACTGATTTTGTAACACAAAGTTTTTTTCTCTTGTAATGATGATGCTTCCGACAATTTTAACATAATGACAATATTTCCGAATATTTTTGATATCTATAACAGTTAAATTAACAATTTATTTGCTCATAACAAAATGACGGTTAATAATAATAAAATTAACAGAATGTTTTCTTTAGGATATTCTTAGTGAAAACTTAGAATTAGATACACCTCGCCCTTAGCTTTCTTAGGTTTATTCCTTTGGTATTTTCTCGTCTCCTTTATTCTCCCTAAACACCCTCATTTCCCTAACTTGTGTTAACTTTAAAACTCTGAGAGATTTTTTAATCAATTTCAAAATCTGTCTATGAATTTTGATCTAATTTAAAATAGTGCAATTTTAACATTTTTATTGATTAGTAGCTAATACTTATCAGTAAAATTACGATTATCTGCACCGGTAATCATAATTTTTTGCGATGTGTCCTCTTTTGAGATAAAAACATTGATTAATACGTATGGTAATAAAGTCCCTATGGACATATGAAACACTTTTAAATTCAAAATCAAATCAAAGTGAACTACTTTAATTACCAAGTGGATTATTTTTTATTATTTTTAAGTTTACTTGATTTCGTCGTTTTCAGTAATATGAAACTCAGTAATAAAAAAAATATTTTATTCTTCATATTCTGGAGTATAAACACTCAATGTTCAATAAAATAATGGTTACACACTGATATATTATAGACAAGTACGCATAGGTTTAAATTCTATTCTCTCGTTATAGTAGTTAATATTAAAGATAAGCTCATCTAAGTTCATTAATATCTAATGAATTATAATCAAGGTTAATTTTTATGCTTAAGTATAATTGTTGACTTGTCTTATTGCATATTCCAAAATGTTGCTTTAAAAGTAACAAAGAAATGTTAAAATTTTCTTTGATTATCTATTTATCTGTGTAAGATACCTTAAGACTTTAAATTTAAAAAATTGGATGACCTAATTTCTCTTAAAAGGACTAATTTGCAATTATAACTCAGTTTTCAGAAAGTATTACATGTGACAGCAGTTTAACAGTAAGAGGTAAAAGTGAAAAATTCTTCAAGCGCGTCTTTTTATCAGTGGTTAGATTGCTTGTTTTAGAAGCAAGAAATCCAGGGTTTGAAGCGGGCTCTGGACATATTTTGCGCCACTGGTAAGGAAGGATGCATAAACTTCCTAGTTAAATGTTCTTCCGTGGACTCATTGTCAAGACCAATAGGTTTTGTTGGGTCACCTAAAAAAAAGTTAATAAAAGTAAAAGAATGAGAATATACAGAGTATTTTTAGAGCATTTACTTGACTCGCGGCTGACCACTAACTATTTTATATTTATATGAAACTGAAATTGAGAAGTTATTCGTTTAAAAATGACTTTATTCTTATAAACTGTACAAACAAAATAAAAATCATATTATAATCAAAAAAGGAAATTTAGGAAAGTTTAACACTTATTTTGTGGGCTATCGTGACCAAAGTTTTGACAATTAGCTCAACATTTCAGACAAAAATTTCTTCCTGATATGTTGACTCATAATTATTTATTTAGATATGTTTGAGTATTTCTAAATCAGAAGACGGTCTAACTATTTTAATTAGCTTTACACCATGAGTTTACATTCTACACTTTGTCAATAATAGCTATATTGCTAGATATTTCCATATATTCAAGTGATTTATTAGTCTTTTTAAAAAATGCGCTCCTTCAAATTCATCATAGTTTAATTTCTTTTTTGCATAATATAGCATCATAAAGTGGTTTTGATATATGATAAATGATTCTGAAGTAAGAATTATTTTACTTACATGCTTTGAAATACATTTGTAAAATACTTATTAAACTCTTTTAAAATAAGTTTTTCATTAAAGAAAAGTGATATAGAGTTTACATTTTATATCTGTGCTGTTGAGTTTAATTCTTTAGTGAAGATGCGTTTGTTTCATCTCTTCATTAATTATGGATCATGATTTTGTTTATATTCAAAATCGGATTTACCTAAGTAAAAACTTACTTAAAGAAAAATTCGGTCATTTCATCAACATTAAATTAGTAAATTAATTGTTAAATAAAATAAAGAAATCATTTGTTATCTGTCATTTGCTTAAATGAAAAATTGAAACTTTTATTCTACCGTTATAAGAATGTGCAGTGCTTGTCTGGTCACACATTCTAATAAAAGGTTGTATTTATTTGAAAAGATTCACCATTGTTTATTTTTACCAATTCGTAGCATCCCATATGACGATTGTCTTAAAGTATTAGAGAAAAACTCATTATTGGCCTAAAATAACTTGTTGTTGATAAAGCAATGAGGAAATTCAATGCAACTTTTTACATAAAATAGACAGAACAAAATTAATAATGAATAGCGAGACTTTACAACACAAATTCATTTTTTTTTTTTTTCCCAACAGGTTAAAGAGTGAATAAATTTCCACTTTTATACTATAACGTAAGTACAGCTAAATTTTTTTAAAGTTTAAGGGTGTCTGGCAAGGGTTTGTCACCATGATTATTGTCTGGCAACAGACACTGTTTCCTAAAAAGCTTTGCCACTGCGACTAGCACATAGGTATTTTAAAATTTGTGCGTTTTTGAAAAAGTTCTCGATTCGTATTAAATATTGAACATTCTATTTTATTTTACATTTTAGGCAAATTTTATAACTTTTAAGAAACTCTCAGAACTTTATAAAACTTACTCAAACAGTCCAAAAATAGTCAAACAAGTATAAAAGGACAGGTGACCCAATCCAACATTTCAGTTTGTGTTATCGTATTTCAAGAACAACTATTTAATCTAATTGGAATCTTGGCGGTCATTTTGAAGCAATTGGTATCACATGTAACACCGAGTGATTGGCGCCTATTTATAGATATTTTATCCCGGACCCTCAAAGTTGTGTTATTTCACTTACGGAAACAAATCACAACTTCTTGTTTTTTTATCATTCTTACAACTAAACCTGATGTATAAAACTTTGCTGGAAAAATATCCCAAACGAGAGAATCACAAAGAACTTTTAAGAATTTTTTTTTTATGAATAAAAAAAGAAATAAAAAAGTAATATAAAAAACTTTTTTTTTTCTTAACGAAACTTGTATTCGTCTATAAATTTTTAAATTTCATACAAAGATTTCTTTACGTTCTATTTTATCCCCAGTTTTGCTTTTATGAAGGTTTTTTTTTTTTCTTCATGATTTTTACAACTTTATAAACTATTGTTACAATTTCTTCTCTTGACATAATATATAGTCATAGAGAAAGCAACAATAAATGTATACATATACAAATCATTAAAAGTATATTGTCAAACACACTGTGTTAAATACAAAGTATATGTTTTATATATATTTTATGATAATAAATTTGATAAGATAATTTGGTGAAATTATTGTGATGTTGTAAGGAAACTCGCAGAAGACTTAAAGAAGTCTTGTCATCGAGAACCTTTGAGACATAAAATAAGTAAAAAATTAAAAAGAAAACTTGTTAAGTGACATTACTAGAGTAATACACATAAAAATATTGAGATATTAAAATTAGTAGGCGTCGTATAAGAATTTTGGATTTTGTTATTTTTTCTTTTTCTTGTTCACTTTTTTGTCAAATATGTTTAAAACATATCGATAAAATTTGTCGAGTTAATTATGAGATGTTTAAGGTTTTTCTTCAAAGTATAAAAGTTACCAGGATTCTAATAAAATTGTTCAAACATGTTATATAAACACTAAGATCTGGTGACACTTTTTGCCATTTACTTACATTTGTACGTCATTTTAACGCATTTGTAATATAATAAAAAATATAAGTTAACAAATAGACATAAGATATTAGATATCAAATAGACATAAGCAAACAAATTAAATAATATTTAATAAATTAAATTTCAAAGATTAAATATTGTTCTATAAAAATTATAATAACAATAATAGCAATATATATTTAAATTATAATAACAATAATTATTATAATAATACTAATAAAACAGCAAATGTGTTTTATTAACAACTTTAAATTAAAGTGATACTAAGAGTTATAACAAAAGTTTAAGATATTGTGCCTATGAATATATATATATATATATATATATATATATATATATATATATATATATATATATATATATATATATATATAATATATATAATATATATATATATATATATATATATATATATATATATATATATATATATATATATATATATATATATATATATATATATATATATATATATATATATTCATAGGCACAATATCTTAAACTTTTGTTATAACTCTTAGTATCACTTTAATTTAAAGTTGTATATATATATATATTATATATATATATATATATATATATATATATATATATATATATATATATATATATATATATATATATATATATATATATATATTATATATATATGTATTATATATATATATATATATATATATATATATATATATATATATATGTATATATATATATATATATATATATATATATATATATATATATATATATATATATACATATACAG